ATAAAACAACCGGGCAAGGTCGAAGACGCGGATGTGTACTTTGAAGTCCGTGGGTTCGATACCAATGGTGGACTTCCAACCAACCTAAAAAGAGGACTAGAAGCAAGACATTTGACGATGATCTCTATTGGAGGAACTATCGGTATGTAATTAACCAATTTTTGGAAATCGTAATATTAAAAATTTGAGGAATTGTTAAACGATTATATCATTAGTGGAATAATCGATATATTTAACTTTGGGATTTTAGGCACTGGTTTGTTTCTAGCGTCTGGTGGTGCTATTGCTAGTGGTGGTCCAGGCGGAGCTTTAGTCGCTTACATGATTGTCGGTCTTATGATTTATTTTATGATGGCATCATTGGGAGAGATGGCTACATATTTACCGATATCAGGTTCGTTTAATACTTATGCAAAGCGCTATATTGATCCTGCATTAGGATTTGCACTCGGATGGAATTATTGGGTTAGTATAAAATCGATTCGATAACCGATAAGCTGACATATCATGTGACTAAATTTTCTTTGTGATACAGTATTCATGGTCGATAACAGTAGCTGTAGAAATAACAGCTGGTTCAATTGTGATGAAATATTGGGTTAGCTCCATTCCGAATTGGGTTTGGAGTCTAATTCTTCTATCGATTATGTTTGGATTGAATTTATTTTCCGTAAGAGGATACGGTGAAGCAGAATATTGGTTCTCATTAACAAAGGTAACTCGAAAAATAACATTAATTCTACGCGTCATTTGTTTTCATCAATAACTTGAATAATAATAAAGTTATTTTCATTTGCGAAAAATAGCTATTAACAGTATTAGTATTCATTATTGTTGGCTTCTTACTGGATCTTGGGTTTATTGGCGATCCTCCGACAAAAATTGGTGGATCTGTCTTTGATTCTGGAGCATTTCACGCCGGATTCACTGGTTTATTTTCGGTGTTTCTTGCCGCTGGTTTTTCGTTTCAAGGCACCGAACTTGTTGGTATTGCAGCCGGTGAATCATCAAATCCACGAAAGGTATTAAACATAAATTTTGAGATTAATTCGATAGATATGTTTCTCTAATTGTTTATAACACATCTCATGGGATTATATAGCATGTTCCGAAAGCAATTCGTCAGGTGTTTTGGCGAATTCTCTTGTTTTACATATTAGCCATATTTGTCATTGGTTTATTGATAAGATACGATGATCCACGATTACTGAACAATTCCGGGCCTGATGGTGTTGCCGTCAGTCCTTTCACTTTAGTGTTTTCAATGACTGGATTCACAGCGGCGCCTCATCTCATGAACGCAGTTATTATGATCACAGGTATTCGAAAATAATAATAAAACGAATTTTTACGCGTCATATTATTTTCTTAGCCTTCACTAGTTTATACATGAAAAATTAATTGATAAGAAATAATTTTACGTTATAGTTTTATCGGCTGGTAACTCTGGATTGTACGCGTCATCACGTGTTTTATATAATTTGGCTTTAGATGGGTTCGCACCAAAAATTTTCAGTAAAACAAACAGCAACGGAATCCCCGTCATGGCTCTATTGATGACCACGGGTATGGGATGTTTCGCGTTCTTTATGTCCTTTTTTGGTGATGGAAGAGTTTACACGTGGTTACTTAATCTCTCGGGAGTATCTGGTTTTATCACATGGGCTGGTATCAGTTTCACACATTGGAGATTTAGACGAGCATATGTTGCTCAGGTAAGAATTTTTTATAATTGATTACATGATTTGTATCTTGATGCCAAGCTTTGAATATTTATTTAAATTATATAAAATTTTAAATATATATAATTGATAATCTAGTAAATAAGTTTACTTAAGATTAAATTGCAAAATAATAATCAAATTTATTTATAATAATTTATTTAAGTTTTCTTATTATTAAAATTTTTTAATTTTAAAAATATAAATTATAA